TAGCCAAGTCTGAGTACAGGTCTACCTCGAGTATCCTACTTATTCATCAGCAAGCCCACGTATGTTCTAATACAGTGTTGCGCACATAATATATCGTTATACGTTTAAAAATAGACCACGTTTAGTTGAACGGACAGTCGCGGGCCGGCGGGTTGCCCCAAGGGGGCCCAAAAAATCCTGAAACCGACACCATGCCCGGGGGGGGGGGGTCCCTGAGGCAAAAAAAAGTACAGAAGGCATTTGCTAGAGAAAATCGATATTTTAGGGGTCAGAAAAACCTTCGGGATTTACTCCGACTGTCACATAATATCCACATAACTCATAAAATTCTTGGGCTATCCATTAAATGCACGCGAAATATGTGGTTCATTGCACGGAGGGGGAGGGGAGTGACAAGCGCCGACCAGAATCTGACACAATCGGTATGAGTCATCATCGTCGAATTCACTCGGGATTTCGCGTGTATAGCCTGTTTGAGTATTCTAACCTCAATTCTGCCATAGCCAATGCGATATTAGCTGCGCATTGTACCGTTTTTGGGGAGATTTCTCGCCAACTCTCGCTCTCCAGGTCACGTGCGCAAGGGTTTTGACGTATTTCAAAGGGGGGCATGGTGTCGGTTTCAAGACTTTCTAGAGCCCCTTGGGTTGCCCCATGTCTGTCAACCTGCTGCAGCTCTGGACTTGACGTGAGGATGATGGTTAATCAAAAGGATCATCTGACGCCTGCTAGGTCCCTTTGCATATTTATTCAGCCTCGGTCCATACTTTTCCTCACCCTGCGAAGAAATTACCTGGGCTAAATTTAATTTAGCATTACAGTCGACTCTCGACCCATGCTCGTGTTTCGGTTTTTTGTTGACGGGTTGACACCCCATGTCAACTCGACGCTTTCGAGCAGTTTCTCTACACAGCCACCACCTTCGTTGGCCCACCAGTTCAGTGCTCATATACGCGTGTAGACTTATGCTCTTATAATATACCAGGTCGTTTTCTGAACTGTTTATATCGCTCGGCAAGGTGGGAAACATCCGGGAGGGCAGGCGTAATCCAATCGGATCCGAATGTCGGAAAACTCGAGGTTGTCCACTGACTTTTCGGTCAAGCGAATGACAAGTCATACACGAAAATTGGGGAGGGAGGGGAAGTGTTTAAGGTGGCTACTTCTTCCTCGTATCGGCAGCAACACAACCTTTTACCGCATTCGTACATTATTTCTCTTTTTTTCGGCTTATATCAAACCCTCTAACAGTAAGTTTGGAGTCCATACATGCAGTGTCCGTGCTAAGAGCCTACAGCCATGGCTCTATCTCAAGCACCCGCAGCATGGAGTTCAACACGCCAGCGCCTCTCGTTCACACAGCAACTTACACTGACATCCCTCCCAACGGGGACACTCATGAAGAGTAGCGGAATATGTTTTCATGGGCCAGGCTCTAAGCTTCAGCTTTCTTCTGATATCGTCCGCCCGTTTAATTCTTCGACTCACACCCTTTGCATGTGTGTTACCTTAAATCTTCTTTGTACGCGCATACAATCTAGAATGGCCGAGAGAGCAGAACCATCGATTACAAAGCAGCTAATAAAGACGAAAGCCCCCGCATTAGGCCCGAAATTCCCTGAGGCGATAATTTGATTTGGAGCCCATCAACGAGCATGGAACGAGAGTTGACTGTATTCGATCGTTGCGCACATCCTTGGTCGTGGTTCTCATATGTGTTGGCGTCATCACCTGATACTATTTCTAGATAATAGGTTTCCAACGAGGGTCTCGACGGACCCGTAGTACGCCGCCCTCCCTGTTTTCATGGGGCGCCCAAATCATCTGGCGGCTGAACTTCATGGAGTTTCAGCCTCAAGAAAGTATAAAGACACGAGCAAGTGCACCACCCGAACTCAAGCTCAAGCACCGACTTCTACTTTGGTTTACCTTTCACCCAGCGACATACTTTTATCCCAGCTAGAATGCGATCTCTTTCGTTTGTTGCAGTTCTTGCCGGTGGGCTCTTCTCTGTTGTTTTAGCCGCTTCCTCCCCACCTTCAGGATCAATTACTGTTGGGAGCGGCGGCAAGTACGCAACGCTTGCTGAGGCACTCGCGGACACGAGCAGGTAAATTATTCGATCATTCAATGCGCTCTTATACTGAAACATGACACCCTTGGCCCGAAGTGACGTGTATTTCGTTTATTCTGGCACCTATACTGGTCAAACCTCTATCAGCAGAGCAAACATCAAGAGTATGTTACGCTTCTCATTTAAGACTTGCCGCGTACAAACTAAAACCAAATAAATTGTTAATAACAGTCTATGGACAAACTTCCAATGCTCTCGACTACTCTTCGAATACTGTGACCTTTACCGACAATGTGCCCGCATCTACAGCCGGAAGTGACGCTAAAAGCGCTACTATCAGAGTTCTAGCAACGGGTGTCAGGTAAGATCGCCCATACAAAATGTATAGCATTGAGGTCTGATACGGACATCAGTTTATACAACCTAAACATTGCCAACACTTACGGAAAACCAGTCGACCAGTCCCAAGCAATCGCACTTTCCGTTGAGGAAGGTCAGTTTGGAGCCTATGCCTGCAAACTCACCGGGTATCAGGACACTCTATTAGCTGAAACCGGGACTCAGTTCTATGGAAAATCTTACATTGAAGGGTACGCATTGTCGGCGGGTATTCAGCTCTACATTAAGCTAAAGTGCACGATATGCAGAGCCATTGACTTTATCTTTGGTCAACATGCATCAATTTGGATTACCAAGTCGACAATCAACTCCGTTGGTAACGGTGCAATCACAGCATCTGGGCGTAGCTCAAGCGATTCCAACTACTACGTTATTGACAATTCTACTGTCGAAGGGACAGGGACGGTGTATCTCGGGCGCCCCTGGAGGTAAGTTTTTATATACAGGCACCTCTCTAGTCAACCTATTGACTGTGCACGCACCAAAAGGGACTATGCTCGTGTAATATTCCAAAATAGTAACATTGGTTCTCAAGTCCAAGCCGCGGGTTGGGAGGTAGGGGCCAACATCTCATCTTCTTATTGAGCAAGTTTGCTGACTCGAAAGGATATTGTCCACAGACTTGGTCCACGGCGACTCCTAATACAGACAATGTCTTCTTTGGGGAATACAATAATAGCGGTGCTGGTGCATGGAGGACAGGGCGAGCCTCTTTCGCAACGAACATGTCGGCTGGGATTTCTATCAATACTGTTCTGGGAAGCACTAGCTGGATTGACTCGTCATACATGTAGCGATGATTCTTTTATTGGCATACAATACGGCGTGCAGCTTTTAATCATAAACCCGTTTGGATTGACGCATACACCCAAGGTCGCATAGTCTAGTGGTTATGATATCTGCTTTACAGCTGTGAGCAGGGATCCAACTGTCACGCAGAGGGTCGCAGGTTCGAGCCCTGCTGCGACCAAGATTTTTTTTTCACTTTCATTGGCTTGCATTCCGCTAACTACACTGGTTTAATTTCTGTGGTGGTGGAAAGACGTGTCGTATTTGCCAGCTTCCGCCAATAAGCGCCTAGCCCAGCCACTGATTGCACGTGATGTGGGCAATTTGTTTTGTCCCCGAATCGGACTTATCAAATCTTGTAGTCAATAAAACCCTTCCTGCACTACAACAGTGTGTCCCTCTTCCACGTCATTATCAGTCTCATGAATTGTCCGATATATATTATATTATCGATATGCTTATGAATACCGCCTGGCTGGCTTGGGATTTGCCTTCTTGATATGGCGAAGACCATGGACCGACGCACGGCGCACCAGGTTCTTGATCTTTGACTTATTCAACCTAGCTGGGGTAGGCAAGCCGCCAACCAGGGCCACCGAATTCATAACTACGGTCATATCTATGTTGTACGAGGTCTGGAGGCGTGTGAATGCGCTTTTTTTCCTCTGCGGAAAGTAGCATGGGCCACTCGGATCGTAGCATACATTGCGGGGTCCAACCTGGGACTACTATATATGGGTGAGCTTACTGTACGTAAAAGCATACAAGGGACCCATCATTTCTCCCCAAGTAGATCTAGGCTACGGGTGATTGGCCTTGACGAGCAAGATGGTTGCGAAGTGCGGTAAATGGGAGAGTGGATTTATATGCAAATGGGACATCTTCAGAAACAGGGGTTGCAGAACGACGACTGGTATATCTCCATGAAGGAATCTTGTTGAATAGTGGACTACGAATCTCTTCGTATCGTCCCTCCCATAATCCAGTTTACCCAGCTTGACCACCAACCGCTGCCATACCCTATGGGTCGGAGGAAGGATCGGTATGCAACCATGATTCCAGCGATCGCCACTCCTATGCTTAGTACTATCTTTCTTCGTGCTAGCGTAGCGGAAGCTCGTTCAGCCCCTCCAGGGATAGCATGTAGTCTAGAAATGAATAGA